GTGATCAGGCTAAAACCTAGCGTGAGTTTATGAAAACCCTAACCAGGGTAATGGGTCACATGGTTCTCGTTAGGCTCCTTGGCTGGTTTTCTCGGGATGAGCCTAACCGATGGTTAGATACACTGAATGATGTGGCTGTCGTAAACAGTGGCGTTCGTGTATCTTCTCAATTTATTTGCAACCTTAAACCACTGAAATTCTGCATTTTCTGTTCGACCCCTAGTTTCAACTTTCCTGGCTTCTCCTATTCTTCATCCCAATGGGTGGCGGAAAGACATCAACCAAAACCGGAGCACAAAAGTGCTTGGCTAATGTTTGTACAAACTGATACTGAGAAAATCATAGATCTCACCGGAATAAGAACCAGAGAAATCGAATTTTTCCCCAAAATGCATCGGTTTTACAAAAAGGGTTATTTCTCTCTATTTCTCTCATGGGTTCAATCCGGTCACTCTCCGCAGATTAAAAATGTGTGTTAGTGGCAGACGTGAGATGAGAATTTGTGGTGTGAAATATTGAAAACTCAAATAGTGCCAGCTTTCGATAAATGCAACAACTGTGAATTTTAGTTGCATTTGTTCTCACATAACTTCTTTTCTAACTATCACATAGGGTTCCATTATGATATCTTATGCTTGGTAACCTATTGTCAACACAACTTTTCTCGTCCCCGTCTGTGTGTGCAATCGCACATGATCACACTCTATTATCGAACACCCTCCCTGGCACTGGTTTTCTCTCTTTCGCGCGTGAGAGTGGATCATGATCTCTGGATGTTTGCTTGATGCATACCACACATACATCTCATCTGGAATTCCTTTACCAACTCTAAATATTGTTTTCTGTCAATAAACAAACTTACTGGAAAATGGCAGATGATATTACAGTATATGAATCAGATAGAATTCAAACTCGGGTAATCCTGACTGTTCTCACTACTCTGAGTTGATTGACTTGAATTGTGACCACAACGTGGATTNTTTCGTCTCGGGTCCATTCTTGTCGTCCTGTTAAGTTGAATCAAACACCTTTTATTTTTGTTTCTCCTATTCTCCACCTCCTCTGCCCAGATGACCGGGGGAGGAGGCGGGGCAATGGTTTCTTATAATCTTCA